ATGTCCACATTGTAACTGGATAACTCCTTTGCCACAAGAGCTGTTCTTCTTTCTGGTCTATTTGAGTCACATTTGTCCAACAGTGTTAGAGCGTTCCATGCTCCAACTGTAATCGTATGTTTGGCCTTTTTTTGTGTTTCTTACATTTCAACCGCAGGGTGGGGATCCCTGCCAGTCGCGGTAAACTGGCCCAGGTAGATTGAGACAGGCAATGTGTAGGGCACCTTTTCTAGCCCCTTTCCCGGGCGGGCTAAGGGGGTGAGCAGTGCATTCCTTAAGATGGCTGCTCAGTCACTCAAGATGTTGCCGGGAGTCTCTGCTGTCTCGGTCAAAGAGCTAACGACCAGTGGGATATAGGGCGCTCTGGATAGAAATAGAACCTTTGGTTATCTGTCGACTGCATCTTATAATTAGAGTGGATAGGCGCCACTGGTCTTCATCCATCACCTAAACTCTCACGTGCTGGCTCCAAACACCACATCCTGATAAACCGCCACAGTTGGCGGGCGAAACCACGTAAGGGGGTGATGTTAACACGGCATCACTAGACGTACGAACTTCCACCATGAAGGGATAAAAAATAAAGTTACCTTATCTTTTTCGTCCTCCTCTCAATGAAGTTGGCTCCTGTTGCTGTTTTACCTACGGGCCCTGTCGCTCTGGATTCTGTCAGTTGACTCCTCATCTTTTGTTTGCGGGCCTCAGTTCCCATGCCCAGCATTTCGTCCGAAGCCCTGAAAAAAAAATAATGAAAGAAGGTTAGAACAACTTAAAAACAATAAAACAAAGGAAAGAAAGAACTGGGTACAGTATGTATAATAGGGCGGCCCTGTCATCAAATTTATTTATATTCAAAATGAAATATCACAATAACCTGCTAGTTTGAAAACAGTTTGATTTTTTCAAATTTCTCCTACTGTTTTCCGATAACAGTTGCATAACTAATGCATTGTTTTAAGCTCAATTAACCTAGAACGTCGTGACGTCAACCTTATAGCGTCGTATAAGAATAACGTCATTAAAAGTCCACTGCAAAAATCGGATTAAAGAATGCTTTTATGATGAATACTTTTTGCTTTGGTATTTTCGTTTTAATTTATTATTTTTTAATACCTTTTATCATTATTAGTCCATTTGATACATGTACGTATTATCATTATTAAGCCAATTAAATAATTGTGTGGTTGCCCTCCCACGACCGGCTGACTAAAAATTGTCTGACTCATAATTCCAGGACAGATATTGATATATTTTTTCTACATCATATCCCGTCAACAAATATATGTAGAATTTTCTGGAAAAAGGATCTTCCCACCTACCATACCCTGAGTCAAAAGAGGGCGAGCAGAATTATTCAAGAGATGGGCCTATTTTCCACATTTTTTTTAATTTAGTCGCTGAGCCACATTGTTTAAAGCAATTATTTGCAGTGCATCTTTCTTTTAAAAATACGTTAAAATAAGTCAAGTATTTAAAACAAAAATGTTTAATAAGTGTGTTATATAATCTTTCCGTGCATAAATCATTTAAATAGTCACATGTTTTGGTTACTCGATCTAAAGTATCGATCTAATGTACATTATTACATTTTCTACATATTTCACACGTTCTTTATGAAACAGACAACATAAAATATATTATAGCAGATACCTGAAGTACACGAAATGATGAATGATACTATTTGATGTTTTCAAATTTGTTTGTTTATAATGTACATTTTTAATTCATGTTTGTCATTTGAAACAGTTTTACGGAAAAGAAAGCACATTGAAAATGCATGCAAACCTGTAAAATAGAATATACAGAAGCATGAATTATGAAAAAGGCATAATATAAAGTTGAAATGTTTTTTTATGATTTTACAAATACTACATCAAGAGCGCCTTTATAGCAACAAAACGTACACGACCAGGACCTAGTGTGCATCGACCAATCAATCATTCTTCCGGATCATCACTGTCGGACTCGTCTATCACTGGATCTCTAGCTGCATCCTCAATTGAATCCGCCCAGTTTGGAATAACTTTGAGCGGCCCCGCCTCATGTCGCTGGTATGACAAATACCACAGAACACTTGTTATATGTGCACACATTCCAACCACTCGGCTGCCATTTTTGCATGTGCAGTACCATCCAGTTACAAGAATTCCGTCATGTTTAATCCATAACTTGTAGCGTTTGGCTGAAACATGTCGACTCTGTATTTTTGCCGAAACTATGTTCGGCACTTCACCACTTACTAAAATTTCGTATGTGCCATCAGAGCTGCAATGTTCCTGAGTGTAGGAGCGGGCTAGTTTGACTTGGTAAACACCAAGTGTTAACTCCCTGATTTCATCCTCAGTCAATTTCGGGAATGACTGACACGCCTCCGTGGCATCGATGGGGGTCCATCTGTAGGATCTTCGATCTAATCCTATAAAGATAATGAATTCTATGAATTTTAATAACTTGTTTTTTCTAAATTATATATATTCTAATACAAGTTAAAAATAATTACCAGTGTCATTAACGAACGTTTGAAGTTCATTGGACGACCTTGCCAAGAGTTGCATTTTAGCAGCTATTTCAATGTCTTTTTCATAAGTTCCACTACTTAGAGGAGGCTTGAACTTGTTGCAAATGGCGCAAATGATCTGCGCATAATCCCCAATACTTGGAATCTGTGTGTTTGGAAGGGTCTTATCTAGCAGCCGCCATGATTTGATTCTACTGTTAGCGGATTCCACCACCCATCTGATCTGTAAACAATGTATTTTTGGGTTAAAGGAAAAAATCTGTAGCTCTCCAAAAAAATATATGTTGATAGACCGGATAGCTACAGTGCCACCTATTGAAAAAATAACCATATATTTATTGCGCACAAAAGGGGTGCTCGATTTTTTTTTCATTAATTCTTCCAAATTCTTACCTCAGTTGTAAAGAAATGAAAGATTTAAAAAAAATCTTCTCTCCACTATCAAGTTTCTCTCGCAGTTGACATCTGAACAAAGCATATGGGACCGAATTATCTTTGAAACCAAAATGGCAGTATAAATAAGAGAAATGTTCGATGATTGCAATATCAGGGCCAGGAGGACTATTAACAACAATTATGAGGAATCTTTTGTTGTGGTAAGAGTCAAGGAATATGTTAGGAACACACGGTTGGTAATATTTTGAGATGACAGTTTAGAAAACATGGAGAAATAAATCGAGAGCCGAGCGCATTTTTTGTGCGCAATAAAATATTAATATACAGTTTTTTTTAATGGGTGGCTCTGTAGCTCACCGGTCTATCAATAATTTTTTTTCGGAGGGCTACAGATCTGCAGCTAAAAATATGACAAGTATATATAAAGTCATATGTCATACATTTTTTTTAATAAAAGATTTTTAAAACTTGAAAAACATTTCACGTTCATATACATGTATTAATAATACCATTACTACAATCGCTCTAGTTTACCTTTGTAACAAGTCGAGAACAGTTAGCATCCTCTGTTTGTAACTGAGCGGCACCACGTGGCAGGAAAGTTGGCATCTCCATATTGATCCCAAGGTCATGAAGAACATCTCCAGAGTCTCGGAAACCCCGATCCACCACAAAGATATCCCCCTCCTGTGTCCACTCTTTCATTCTCTCTGCGTTGGTCTTGATGATGTGGTTTAAGATGTTGGCATCACTGTTTTTAGCATCTGCGAGATACGGCCCAAGCACAGAGACAATGTACCCAGTGGTCGTCACAACTAACATCAGCTTTACTAGTGGTCTGTGCTTATGGAGGCTAAAGGATCTTCGGGAGAAGGAAAAGTTCTTGCTTTTTTGGACATATATGTAGGTACCGTCAAGAACTAGTATTGCAGGATTCTGTGTTGTTTCTGAGAAGAGCTCTTTGGCCAGGGGTCTTGTATGGTGCTCAGTCACATCTTCCCTACTTATGTGTTGGAATCCTAAGAACTCAGGAACGAATTTTGCCTTCAGGGCTTTGGTGGCCGATTTAATGGCTCTCCTCACCTAATACATGTATTAGAAATATTAACAATTAATAACATTTAAATAATTAAGAAAACATAGCTTCAATTGAATTTTAAGACTTGAGATAAATCCATTTTGTAATATTTTAATGAGTACAACAATGTGAACATTTTACTGAATACACAGTTTTAAGAAACTTGTCTATGGAAAGCTGTACATGTTTTTACTTAATTTTGTTTTTGTTTTATTGTAGCCTTTATTCTGTTATTACTGCGCTTTTATATGTGTTTGACGTTTCAGAGCAGTTACCAAGTACAAAGGGAATTGTGTATACGAGGGGTTATCAAAAAGTTCGTGGACTGAGGCTATAAAATTAGTTCTTTGTAGTCTGTGCTTTTGAAATTTATATGGAACATAAACCAACACAATTTAAAGAAATCTTGAAAATTTTAGCCTGATATGTTCATTATTTGTCAAATTATTATAAAATGAAAACAACATTATATGATCATCCGGCGCTGTCGTCGTTTATTTTCACGACGTCCGATAACATGGATAACGTCATTGTTTTGTCAATGTCCTCTTCGTCTACCCCATACACTTTTTTGATGAGATTCCCTGGAGCTGAGTAAGGACTTATACCCCCCTTTTTTATATGAATGTCATAAACAGTGTTCTTCAATGAATACAGTATTCCAGATGGATAAATACATTGGGAGAGATGCGCGCCTGATTGGGCACCGTGTAATTCATGGACTGGAGTCTTGGAGTGGAGTTATGGAGTGGAGTTTGGAATCAATTTTTGGAGTCTATTTTTGGAGTCAAGCAAAATTGCGTTTGTTAATAGAAATAGAGATCAGAAGAAACTAGTTTTTTCACTTAAAGCATAAACATTAATAGAACACACACACGTTGAATTAACAATTCAAGAATTGTTTTTAGCTAACAAGCACACAATAATTTTGACTGTGAACAAGTACTCTACCGGTTACCTCTCTATATGTATGCTCTGTTTTGGGGGGTTCATTTAGGTTTTATTTTTTATATAAAAAAAATAATCATTTGTATTGCTTGCATAAATATTAATTACCCCTCTGTATACCCCAGCTTATTTAGATTAAAGTATCCTGACATTACATAGACTAAAAACAAACGGTCATTCGCCACAGTTTAATCAGCATCTCTGAAACTGTGTGAACAAGCCTGACATTTCATTTAGTCTCAAGAGTAAAAAATTCTGTTAATTATCTATATAGATGTATCTATATATCATTTACCCTTTATTTTTCTAACTCAGCATTTTGAGTTTATCAACCAGATGTGGGTACCAGTAAATGAATTTGACAGTTCACCTATCAATTT